TCTGTTGCTGTGTTGTTCTGGGGGAGATATTCAGAGATTGAAGGTCCTTCAAAATAGGGCAATGAGAATATTGTTGAGTACAAACAGATATACCTCAGTTAATAGCATGTTGAAATCATTAAATTTCTTAAATATATCACAGCTTATACGTGAGTCAAACTTGTTGTTAATATTCAAAATTGTAAACAATAAAGCTCCATCATATTTTAATGAATACCTTAATAAGAGATCTCTAAACATGGATTACAACTTGAGAATTATCAAATTGAAAGGTTTAAGTCGACAGCATTGGAAAAGACCCTGTTTATTGAAGGCTTAAGATTGTACAATGGTTTACCATGTAATGTCAAGTCTTCTCCTACTGTAAGTCATTTTAAATCAAGGTTAAGAAAAATGTATTTCTGGTGTTGATTTGTATCTTTCTTGTTTTTTATTTTTGTGTCCTTTTCTATGGGGATTATTTTGAACTTGTATTATTCGAATATTTTTGATGTAATATGAATTTATTTGTTATGTAATAGCTGATATAGCTAAATAAAGTTTGATTTGATTGATTGATGCTAACATTAACTCAATTCTAACTGAACTTTCAATTAAGACTTCAATAAACTGAATGGAAACATTTTCCTGAATCCTCGGAGCAGCCAAGATATTTCCCTCTCATTGCATTTTTTGAATAGAAATTGGTAGCCTTTCGAAATCTGATATCAACAATTTTATTTGGTCACCTTCCAGTACATACTGGGCAGATTCCTGGAACTAGTTGGATAGTGCTTCCACAAGGTACCATACAGTTAGAGTTGCCAATTTTTTTCGACAAAAAAACGTCTAGGAAGAAAACGTATTAGGAAGAAAAGAACTATGTTTTTATTTCTTTAAAAACATATTCTCGTGTTCTTTCAGCTCATGCTAACCATTTTGTGTTATCTTTAAATGTTCTCAAACAATGCAAAGCTTGTTTGAGAATCAAAATTTAAATTTAAATAAATAAACAGATAAATAAGCAATAGATTTATTGATGTTCTATTCTCTCTTCTCGTCTTTTTAGATTCATTACTGAAAAGACTCTTTCAGCGAAAAGCTGAAGCGGGAATGGAGAGTAGGTGAGAAATAATTTTTTTATATTTGGTAAGCTATCAGATGCATTTTTGAGTATATACTGCCATTTTTCCACTGTACTTTCCACTGAAAATTTTTTATCATCATTAGTGAATTTTCTTTCGATCTCTTTAGGTATTATAGATTCGGACTACACATCGTCTATCTTAATATTCAATCTTCCTTGTAATTTGGTCTTTGTAATAACCATTTCAAAATGTTCAAATCTTACCTTATTTTTCAAAGAATCAAACCATTCTATCATATAATTTAAGCTCATATCAATAAAAACTAAAAATTATTATGTATTATATTATAAACAGTAAATATACTGTTTTGTCGGATCATTTTTTTTAAAAACATTTTTTCGGTGTAGTATATTCACTATCTATTTTATCCGTTTCACAATAGAAATTACGTTTTGCATGTGTTCGTGGAGTTTTCTTATCCATAATGTACTATAACATACATCTATAAAACTTCAAATCGTATTCTAATTGCATTCAAACCGCTTTGCACAAAACAACCAAAAAATTGTGACAATTTGACATTTGAGGTTAGGTTGCGTTCAGAAATTGTACAAAACGAGTGTTTGAGTGATGTGGCGCTGGCGAGTGGCGATATCGATTCAGCACGAAATCACCAACCAATAAATTTCATTGAACAAAATAATGGACTAAATTTTTCAAAATTGGGGAAGAAATCAAATCATCCGAAATAAAGTATTTTTGTCAACTTTATTGTTCTCATACACTATAGAGTATAATTAACTTTATAATAATGTACGGGTGGCAACCCTACATACAGCGTAAGTAGAGTATTTATCAGGACTTCTAATTTTTTCATAAAATTATCAACCAGTCAATCTTCATTATAATTACGACAACTTGACCACAAAATCTCTTCGACGCAAGATGTTGACGGTTCAATCTTCCGCAACGTGCTCATTTCTGGGTCATTTTTTCTCATTTTAACGGTATCGAATTTCCATTAGCCGCTACCCACAAATATGCGAATTCGATCTGGTTATTTCCATTAAAAATGGAGATCGGCCATACAAGAAAACCAATATGATCTCAAATTACCACCATATTAATTATCGTCCCTCAAGACTGATGCTCTGATGATAAGTCAACCTAGTACCGGTCGCATATCGATGTCGACATAATCTAAAATCCTTCGTATAAATTATCTGATGCTTGATTTAATGATTTTCTGAGAGAGGATGTTCTTTGATTTACCGAAGAGATGGACCGCCCAAAAACCGTTTTTGAATTAACACTTGGTAGTGCCTGCTGAATTTGAAAACTTCAATTTCGGTTGTTTGTTGAAATTATCAACAGTTTCAATTTTCAAAAGTTGATTACATTCAAAAAATCTGTCTGAGTGCTGTAACTGCTGGATTCTGCAGCTATCTGTTTTATTGTCATTAAATTGAATTTAAATGAATGAGTTTTTAAAATGAAATAACTGAAATTTTATGTAATTCCGTGTAAATAATTGGTTCATATGTACTGGAACTAACGGACGATTTTTTAGAGGTATAGGACTTTGAGTGGGCATTACTGTTGAAGATGGCCACCGAATGAACAGCTGAGGAGTGATTTATTCTCGGTTTGGTTTGGCAATTCATCATGAATAGAACCACCCCTGAAAAACGCTTGCAAATAGTGCAATTTTATTTCGAAAATAATGGTTCTGGCGGAAGACGTATCGCGCACTACGTCCATTTTATCGTCGACAAAATCGTCCATCAGAGCAGTTAATTCGATTAACCATGGAACGTTTTCGCACCACGTTTACTCTTATTGATAACTCGCATCCCCAGAGACGTCGTACGGTGTGTACAGAAGAAGCTATCGCTACTGTAGAGCGTAGCATTGAGGAAGGCCCGATTGAGTCCATCCGCCATCGAGCACAGGAATTGGGTCTGCGTCCATTCACTTTATGGAAGATTTTGCGGAAGGATCTTGGTTTGCGCGCTTACAAAATCCAACTCGTGCAAGAATTGAAGCCAAACGATCATCAAGCAAGGCGAAGATTCGTCGAATGGACCCAAAACGAGATGGCCGTTGTTCCTGATTTTCATAATCGAATTTTGTTTAGCGATGAAGCGCACTTCTGGTTGAATGTCTACGTCAACAAACAAAACTGCCGCATTTGAAGTGGAGATAATTCTCCAGTTGTATGTTAAAACACCGTTACATTCAGAAAAACTGACTGTTTAGTGCGCTCTATGGGCTGGTGGAATCATTGGTCCGTAGTTCTTCAAAAACGATGATGGCCAGAACTTTACAGTCAATGGTGATCGGTATAGAACTATGGTTACTAACTTTTTCATTCCTGAACTGAACAACCATGATGTCCAAGAGCTGTGGTTTCAACAAGACGGCGCAACATGTCACACAGCTCGTGCCACAATCGATTTATTGAAAGATACGTTTGGTGACCGCCTAATTTCACGTTTTGGACCTGTGAATTGGCCATTGGCATCCAAGATCTTGTGATTTAACACCGCTAGACTACTTTCTGTGGGGCTATGTAAAGTCATTGGTCTATGCGGATAAGTCACGAACGCTTGACTATTTGGAAGACAATATTCGCCGTGTTATTGCCGATATACGCCCACAAATGTTGGAAAAAGTCATCAAACATTGGATGTCAGATTGGACTACATCCGAGCCAGCCGTAGCGGTCATATGCCAAAAATCATATTTAAGATGTAATGCCACAAAATTGTCTTTCGAATAAAAAAAATTCTTATCAATCGAATGATCCATCCTTGGTTTATTGCCATTTAAAATTCTATACCTCTAACTGTTTCTAGTCATCCAAAGGAAATTATGTGAACAAATTACGAGAGAGTGGTTGCTAGCTCTGACAGCCGTAAGGTTAGGGTTACCAAGCATAAATATTATGTGTTCCGAGAAGATCTAATCCACAATTGTTTGCTTTATATGTTATACTCTTTACGTAACTCATGTTGCCAGTTAAAACATGGCAAGTAGAGATTGCCAAGATTTCAAAGAAGCATTTTCGCTATAGGTAAGAGTCTAGGCAGAGAACCACGAATTGTTATGTGTTGTCAAAAAAAGTATGCTGTAACGTAGATATAGTTGTAGTATTCCTCAAATTACATCTAAGCATCATAAATTTCATAAGAATGTATTAACAGCACTTTATCCGTCTTCAAAGATAATAAAACTAGATTCATATTTTCGAAATAAACCACTGTGAAGTAGCTACAACTCTGAAATCAACTGTGGACTTTGGGAGTGATTGATACTGAATTTTTCGAACAAAATGAATTCAGTATGAAATTTTAATTGATACCGAAAGAGAAACATATCAATTTAAACTGATGAAGGTGCTGGTTCAGATTTTATGAAACTTTAACAAAGAATTGAAGACAACGATAGATAAACTCACAAACTATATTCCAAACATGTAAAAAAACTTAATTTGAGTTTTTCGAGAAATTCTGAGTAATTAGAGAACATCGAAAATCAGAAAAGATAATCTGAAACAAACAAAATAGCTTATAAATGCAATGTGGGCCATATAATTTGATACTGAAGAATAAGGTATATCATATCGAAATGAATGAAGAGAATAAAATTAATGAAAAAAATGATAACTGCTATACATCATTCAAAGATTTAAACTACTCATCAAAAAATTTCCACGTTTATCTGATAATAAGATATATTCACTGAAATAAACTACTGTTCCATCCTAAGCATTAAGGGACTTCGTTATCTGAAAGTTTTTTTAATTCAGTGGATCTACAGTTTAACGCCCGCCGGTTCCAACGAACGGCTATTTGGCTTGTAATCAATGTACATTACCCAGCATATATCATTATTTAAAGTACTTCAATCATATTCAAACACAAACACTCATGGCCTCATCGGGGCTCGAACCCGAGTTTTACTGCATCATAGTCAGGTGTTCTCCAGATTAAGCCACGGAGACCGGCTATCTGAAAGTTCACACTCCATTACTATATAATATAATTTTTTATTTCTTATATATACATAGCAGAATTCAAAATTGTTCACTCACAATTTTTTATTTGTTATATTATACATAGCAGAATTCAAAATTGTTCACTCTCAAGTATTTCAGCTTTTTTCTGCTGGAGTACTGAATTCATCAATACTTCGCATAATATATTGTATAATAATTATACAATAATTCTTCAATAATTCATTAATATTCTATTTTTATAATTTTTCTATTCTTATTTCAACCATTTGCCACTTATTATGGGATAATTAAAACACTTCAATTTCATTAAGACTTTTATTGTCATAACGTTACGCATTGTCATGACTCTTTCGTCTGTCAACTTCTTACGACGTTAACAGGATATGATTTGATAGGATAAACTAGAATTTGATGAACATACCCCATTACAATAAAATTATTAAATACATTATGCTACAATAAAATTCTAGCATTTTCTGTTTATCTTATATTGATTTATCATATTGAATCATATTCTGCTAACGTCTGAAGAAATCGTTTATACCGATGAAACGCATATAGTTACGGCAATAAAAGTGTGAATCAAATTCAAGTGTTTATTATCCTATAGTTTGAATGGATATGCACCAAGTAAATGCCAATACTATCCAATATTCAACAATTCCCCTCAATTTAAAGTGTACTTTCCTTCTCTTCCAAGTTTATAAGGTAATTGGCTGTGTCATCTGCTGAAATATCCTTCAATTCAAAACAAACTAGTTGATTTCAGATTTAACTTTCGAGCTGTTACGTATTTTCCAATCATTTTATTCATTTCATCGTTTTAGAAATGACACGAACATCTGATTCAAATATTCAAATTAAAATTTCAAGCAATGATAGTCAAGAAAAGTACTGGAGATTGATATACCTGAAGTCAGATGAAACATATTTTGCAATAAATTTTCATATCGTTGATGAACCGAATATGGTTTTGTGATTCACACTATATTTTTTAAGACGTGATGATCTTCTGATCAACACGTTTATAGATGTAGATATCGTAGAAATCACAGAAACCAATTATTTTTTCAAATTATGAATTTCATCAATCACCGTTTATGTCATTTATAATTCATTGATATAAACAATATGAAGTATTTTTATGGTAATTTTACGTCGAATTCATCCATTCGTCAGTATCATGAACAATAATTTCGATATCAAATAAATTCCATGAGTGGAATGCCTCAAACCACCCTGCTTTGTACAAAACATTCAGAGCATTTTAATACATCGATTTTCAGATTTTAGTGAAGATATTTCATTTATTTCAATTTATTCATTCAGAAGTTTTTGTGATATATAAAGTTTGGAGAAAGTTTCCCAAAAGACGTGGAACGTGTCAACAATATTTCGTATGAAAAAAATGGACAAAAAACTAACGAACCTACATCTCACCAAGACGAGCAGCAATCGCGGTCATTTCTCAATGGACAACAAATGCTATATCAAGTGATATATGGTATTGGAATACACGAACCAGTCAGTACTTAATATCCGAGGAAAACATGACAAGGTCATTGAAAAAACTGGAGCACAGGACAGCATCGATTATTAATTTTTTAATATTCCAAACAGAGCAGTATCTGTAAACCTCACAAGGAATTTTAATTGGATAACTTAACGATGACTATCTGCTAGATTTCGACTGAGATTCACACATAGAATATTTGTTCGAAGTTCTTTTAGTTAAGGTCCTCATACTGTGTTACATGTGAAATCATCCATATCAATTTATGGACAAGGTTGAAATGAATTGTAAAAGAAAATCTGCTCGTTCAATTTCAAGTTTCCTTTAATTTCTGAAACCATATCATTACCGAATTGTTCTCCTATAAGCTAATAACATAGCAATTTTTTACCTATGTCATCTCATTCTCGGTCCGAGAACTTATCTTTTTCTATAAATTATATATATATATATATATATATATATATATATATATATATATATATATATATATATATATATATATATATATATATATATATTATTTCGAAAGTTTTCAGCTCTATATTCTATATTTTATATATATATATATATATATATATATATATATATATATATATATATATATATATATATATATATATATATATATATATATATATATATATATATATATATATATATATATATATATATATATATATATATATATATATATATATATATATATATATATATATATATAAAATTAACGACAAAAAAAGAGAGTATGAGCGAATATATATAACGAAAAAATTAAGTTAAAATAAATTGAAATAGTATTGAACAATTACCAGATGGAACAAACTGAAAATGAAATATTGTCTATTACAAAGTTACATATGGTCAGCAGAAGTTGACCATATAGTAACGAAATATATTTGATGAAAAATAAAATTGAAATCAATTGCAAAAGTATTTATATTTAGTAACCAAATGAAACAAACTAAAATTAAAATAATAATAATAACTCTCAATATAACTTAAATTCAAACACTTGAACTTATGATTTACACTTTATTGACTACATAGCATGACGCGTTTCGTCGTTACAAACGACTTCTTCAGATGCTTACAGAATAATAACAACATTTTGAAAAATACAGGTATATATATCAGGGAATTTTGGTGTTCTATGGTTTTGGTTTTACCTAAGATATTCCATTCTGAGAAATAATTTCTATTACCTGAAAAGGTTTAACAAGGGTGAATTGTTCAATTCTATCTGTTCATTGAGCAAGTTTCCAGAATTTTTAAGCCGATTTATTTCCACTACTTTGTCTATATTGTATACTCTCTATATTTGATTTTTTTTATCAGCTCTAGTTTTTGAGATACACGCTACAGGTTAAATGATATATTTTTTTTCTGATAAAGGACAACAAATAAAGTGATAAATATGTACTTAATCGTCAAAATAGAAATTTCCCAGAATGTAATTAGCCAAATGGATACCTGGAATTGTCCCTGACCCAATGTTCCTATACTAGGAACTACTCAATACAATGCTCTTAATTACTTCTATACCTGTAATTGCCTATGACCCGATCCTTCTATACCTGCTTGGCTGTACTTGATTTAGTATATTACTGAGTTTTCCGAAGTAAAGTTGTGCTATCATTTTGTATAAATTTTGGTCGTTTTGTAGTATCAAGACACTAAACTGAAACAATGGCATCCACAAGCAGACGTACCTGTGTAAATCATCCCGATGTTTTTTGTTATGTGTGTGGTGGATACACTTTGAACGAGAGCAGAAAAACGATTTCTGACTTTGTGAAAAGAGCTAATCTTGCCTATTTTGGCGTTCATTTAGGAGATCAAGATAAATCTTGGGCCCCACATTTCATATGTAAAACATGTGTTGAACATTTGCGACAGTGGACAACTGGAAAGAGGAAGTGCCTAAAGTTTGGTGTACCAATGGTTTGGAGAGAACCGCGGAACCATCATGACGACTGCTATTTTTGTCTCGTTAATATTAAAGGCATAAATAGAAACAATAGACACAAATGGACATATCCTGATCTAGATTCTGCAAGAAGGCCTGTAGTGCATTCGGAAGAAATACCCGTTCCATCATTCAGCAGTCTACCTGAACTGACAGAAGATGATACAGAAACATCAACGTCTGACGAAGTTAAAAGAATTCAATCAGAAAACGACAGCGATTTTGAAGCAGATTAATCTTTTGAATAATTTGTCAAAAAATTATCTAAAGGAAGTTATAGTATACCTTAATATCGAATATTTACAAGTGCGATAATATAGCACGAGAACTACAGAATTCTTTTTCTTTTAGTAGATTTCTTTCATGTTTCAAGTCGTCATTTCAGGATACTTTGATAAATGACAGCTCGCGATCCTACAAACGCAACGTAGATGGCATTACGTCATCAAATTAGTGAAATTGTTCAAAAACTAGAGTTGTAAAATGTAGTATCCTAATTCATAAGAACGTGTGACACTTTCAATGTCAGATGTAGTCATGTGCTTTACATTGATTCCTAGGGTTTGAGATGTACTTTTTTCTATGCATTATATATGCATGCGACTTACTGTATATTTCTGTCTTACGATCGATAAGAGGATATGTGAGGATTGAAGTCATTGCCTTTCATTTGTTGGACGTGACGTAATTAATGAGTACCTTGTAGTACGAAACAGTTAACTGTCTTACGCTTCCAATAAATGTAGGCATCGATTTCAATATTCTCTAACATTTATCCCTAGAAGGATAATGGAGACCTCACATTGTTCATGTTTCACATAGCCAGCTCTGCTATAATGTTCTTCCGAAAAATTTTTCAAGAAATTATCGAAAGAAAGTTATGGAATACTTCTAATAATAATATAGCACGACAATTACCCTTTTTCTTCATGTAAATATAATATTTAGTTAACGGGAATAATCGGTATGTTGAAGAGTATAAGAACTCATTCATTCAAAACAATTCCCGATATTTCGTATTTCGACACTTTTTGTGCCTTTTTCAGGAGAGAAACCAGCTGCCAATTAATGACAACATTGATAACATATGTGAATATGAAAAAAAAATCTACTCACAATTGGAGTAAATGAAATGATGATAACAGAAGTAACATGATTTAACGAACACCACTTATTTTGCTTTGCCATCTAACTCGATATACTATTAAACTGAAAGGTCCGAATTCAACACCGTAGAATGAATGCACTTGTGTGTAATTGTCCCAATTATTAAGTCGCAAACTTAAACCATTGACATGGAAAAATGCTATGATTTTTTCTATTTCAAGATATTGTTAATGATGATGCTCAATTTTTCAATATATGTTCAAGCATCAATCGAATTGTCTGTGTTTTGTACCTATACGCGTCATTTTCAAAAATAATCTCTTTTTTGGTTTACTTTCCTCAACCAAAATTTTGATATTTTGGTAATTTAAATTGTGATCAGAGTCTTGGAACAGGC